GAGTTGTCAACTCCACGCCCACCCGGTTTTAAATCCAGAATTTTCCTTCTACCAGTCCGGCTGCCAAACTGATTTAAAGAACTCATTCTATCCTCAGATTTAAACCATAGCAGAAGATTCATTCCCATAGGTATTTGTTCGAACGTAAACGCAACAACCTCGGCTGTAACTTGAACCCAGCATAACTATCCATTCTATTTTTATAGATAACGTTTTGCCTGGCGTGGAAAAGTTAAGTAATTTTTTTAAGCCAATGTCTTATTTAAACAACATTAAATCATGTTTTGAAGCAAATAATAATTCTTCTTCTCAATGACATAAAACTCTGGGGGGTCGACGAGAGCTTCTTGGGTTGTTAAATGTTTTGACAGGTGAAATCCTGAACGATAAGGACTGAACAATTTGAAGTAGTTGATTATATCTTTCGCAGTTTTATTTTTTTTTGGGGGTTTATCAGAAATCATCTCTTCAAATCTCAGAATCCACCATCACTGGGTGGGGTCCTAATTTTAATTTAAAACGCACTGGTTATCCTTACTCTATTTTCTTCCTAATTGCTTTGTGTTCTCAGTCAATTTTGTTTTTATCTCTTCATATAATTGGCATCTCCAAAATAATGTTACGATGGTAGGTTCACGGGGAAATTGAAGTTGTTTATACTTGTGGGATTTTAGCAAATTGGTTTGATATATTCTGGAATTTAACTAAAGCCGATTCACTTAAGTGTTTAATGTTTGAGTGTTTGACAGTGGGCTAATGTTTAACGACGCCATTTTGTACGCTCTTATTGCTGTGTAGAGTGTTCGAACCGCATTGAATACACGACAGCTGTGGCGTTCTGGTAAAATTAATTGGGCTAAGCGAACTTCAAGAGGAATGTGTTCGTCTTAGTGATGTGCCCAAAGGAATGACGGATGGCACAACCTACTTATCTTTATGTTCTTCACATCTTACCACCTCCTCTTCCATTCCTATTACACACCTCACTCATGATAACCAGTGATCCGCTAACTCGAGTGGCTCTTGAGCCCTACATTAGGCGAATTCTGCACAGCTTCTCTATTTGGAATTACTGGAAGAGTCTTCTCAGTTATAAAATCCTTCCTAACGGGTAAGTCCTTGAATGTAGTTGCTAACAGCCAATTTCCGAAGCCCAAGGGATCAACACAAGCGTCCCCAAATTCATGTTGGTTTCTCGGCTCAAATCTCTTTCTGCTTTACATGAATGTTCTGCCTAAGAGTATACTCCGATCATTTGTGAATATCTATGCTGATGATACAAAGGTGCACTTCCATAATTCTAGATGAGCAGAGCTTGGCTGCTGATCTTTCCTTTGACCTTAGGTCTATCAACTGAGTGGGAGAAAAACTGGCTGGTCACATTCAGTGTCTCGGAAACCAAACTAGTGGGTTCCACCATCACCGATCAGACCCAGAACTTTCACTAAACGCGATGAACGGATGGTCCCTCTGAGAGGCCGCATGCCTTAAGCGCCGATTGAGACTTAAGCAAAACCTAGACCTCAAGTCGAACTCGTACATACGGCACGTCGCTAAAAGATGCTGGAAAATGGTCTGTTCCCTGTACCGCACCGGCATGTACTTGACTCCTCGTGTTACCCTTCATCTTTATAAGGATCAGATCAGGCCTTGGAAAGTGTTCAGATAGACTACATTCCTTAATTCCACCATTTCATCGCTAAGACCCGCCATTCCACGCGTATTGTAGCGAATCATACTTATTCCCTTTGTATTTTATTAGTGTTCCACTCGAGTAGATTCTTCCCACGAAACAACTCCCAAGAGGATGCTTCCTCGGTCACCAAAATCTTAACCTGTTCAAGTCTAGGGTTAACCGTTATTTTACCGATATATACGCATAAACTGTCTCTTATTCTGTAAACCTCTATCTCGAGTAACTCTTGGGACTTGTACAAAAAACAATAAAAATTCTAAAAAAAAAAAATCTATGTATTCAAATTGGGATAGTATTCTCTGATACGTGGAGGACTTGATTTAGAAATAAATTTTTGATTATTTTTTTTAACCTGGAATTGAACCCCCGACACTGGCACCACTGAGAATAACGTCACTAAGATTTTTACTAAGCTTAGCTCTGTCTGGCACAAAGCGGTACATTTGTGCATTGACTTCTTAAGAGTACTGATGTCCTGCTACATAAAACTTGTTTATTTAGCCTTCTGCTCTCAAATCACAAAGCTATATTAATTTCCATTGTGAAAAGGCCGAACAATATAAAGTAACAATGTAAATGAAATTGAAATAGACAAATTAAGAAAGCTATAAAAATCAGCAGAAATCTCAAGAATCCAATTCTTTGAAGAATAAAAGACTTGACATTGTGACATCGTGACTCCCACAAAAAAGATGCCGTGCAAGAACATACACTGATTATTATTTGGGTGCATCAAATCTACTTGCAATTTTTTTTAAAGATCTTTGGATTAAATTCCATGTGCACACCTAAAGACAACCACCCCATCATATTATTAATATTATTATTTTATATTAGAGTGTATTTATATTCTTTACATTCCTTTACTTCAAAACTTATTTTATATACACATCTAAAAACTATGTCTCCACTATATTATCATTATCAATATTAGTAGTAGTAGTAATAGTAGTAGTATTAGTGGTAGTAGTTTCATTTTTTAACGTCCTTTACTTTAAAGCTTCATCTACAGACTAAAGACTATCTCCGACTCCATCTTTTAATATTATTATTATCATGAATGGATGTGCGGGTAGTATAACGGATATGAGCGCGAAATGTGTAATTGGCTGACCGAGTTCAAATTTCACTCTAACCTCTTTCGTTCACTTTTGCACAGATACCATTTGGAAAAAAAAAACATGAAACCGTCTCTTTTGGGACAGACACTTAGGGGCTGATGATAGCCACGCACAGAACAGCTTGAAATAGACTATGTTGAAGTAATTTAATTTTTTTTTTCTTCTGTAAAAAAATACATATGCACTGTTAAAATAAAACATCGAGCTCTCTCTGTGGATCAGTTTTAATAATTAATATTACTAAAATCCACCCGGAATATATACCAAGGGAATGATTACCTGTATATATATATATATATATATATATATATATATATATATATATATATATATATATATATATATATATTATTATTATTATTATTATTTATAAAAAAATTATAACATAAGTATGTTATAAAATCACTACCATATTATAAGAATAGAATAGACAGGGCTCGACAGTAATAGGAGCTAATATCCAAGTATATAATTGGTATATACGGAATGAATTCCAATAACCAACTATTAATCATATAATATTCATTCCATATATACCAATTATATACTTGGATATATATATATATATATATATATATATATATAATTCATTTATTAAGGTTATCTTTATTAGACTAATTTGAAATTGTGTTAATTTGTCCTGCCTAAAATAAGAGGCCATATCGGTCAATTTGGTGTATTTCTTTCAAATCTGATCACACACCACTTCACCCTAGGGTACAATTTTTCCAGTCTTTAAGGAAAAACTTCTTGGTCTATTTTTCATTTACTACTATCCCTTCATTTCTTCCTTTTTCTCTTTTCCCTTCCTTCACACACACACACACACACACACACACACACACACACACACACACACACACACACACACACACATTCTCTTCCCCCTCTCTCTTTATTTCATGTTTTAAAAAGAATTTTATATTAAAAAAAAATGTTGTTTGTCTTTCTTCCTCTTCCCCGTCTCTTTTCTCTTGCTTTCCTTTCCTACTGTTTATCTAATAAATCAGTTTGGGTTAATTGTCTCCATTTATTAAATACTTTCGGTCTGAAGAAATATATATATATCTATATAGAAATATTCACAAAATAAATTATAACCGAAATGGATCTTTCAGGTTTTCTTCTTGATTTACTATGAAGATCGTCTCAGATGAGATTGAATGTACTTGGGAAAATAAAAACTATTTGAAAGAAAATTTTGGTATTTTTCTTAATCAATTTTCTAAGCCTACCAAGAAATTAATTAGTGAAATCGAAAGGATCACAACGAAAACTAATCAAACTAATCAAATCTGTTTGAATATATATATATATATATATATATATATAGTCTATATCAATGCAATTAAGTTATGACTATTGTTTCAGATGTTATAATGCAAGATTTTATTGTGTTTCTGATAGTTTTCAGGTCGTATTTTCACTCGGCCTGAAGTTACCGTCAGAAGCTGGGAAAATGAAAGAATATCTGACTTTCCTACACAAAACTGGTTCAAGCGTTTCAAGGGCGCTGATATGACCTCTGGAATAAAGCCCAGAAATTGACGACTATCAAACTCGAATTCAAGCCGACTGCGCTGGACAAATTCGTTAACCACTAGCCACTTACGGCCAGCGACCTGTGTATTTACATGTGCTCAGTACACACGCACTTGGAAATTATTCATGGCCTCTGAAAATTAGCCAAGCTTTTGTAAATATCAGTAAGTACATTCACTTTTCTCATTATATATATGAGGTCTGTCCGAAAATCATTCAACAATTATTAACGAATGGTATCCTACCTAAGGCAATGGTACGATAGTTATGAGATCCAGGTAGAGAGTCGTACAATAAATAGCTATAACTTTTCCTTGTCAAGGTTGTCAGTGGCTGTGACAGCTATTTACTGCTAATTAATACAGTTATGAAAATAGCTTTGTCTAGATGCTCGTTATCTATTTATTGTTATAGCGCTGGGAGTAGTTTGTTAATTAATGCGAAGTGAATAGCTACATTCAGAATTCCAACTCAGTTATTCATTTTCTGTTTTTTATCAATCACCTTAGTGATATGTATGCGTAATCAATATTTATATATAAGCAGATATCTCAACCGAGCGATGTAACTGCGAACTTTCGTTTTTTTAAATTATTTATTTATATTTCCTTTTTTCCCTACACGAACTTTTTCTTTTACAGTATTTTCTTTCTTTCTTTCTTTCTTTCTTTCTTTCTTTCTTTCTTTCTTTTTTCGTTTTCTACTCTTCTTCTTCTTCTTCTTCTTCTTCTTCTTCTTCTTCTTCCCTCTCTCTCTCTCTCTCTCTCTCTCTCACACGCAAACACAAGCACACACTTACACACACTTTCTTTTTCTCTCCTTGTCTCTCTCTCTGATTATTTTTTCCTTTACTTTTTCTGTTTGTAAGCACTATTTAGAATAGGTAGACTGCATCATCTGCAGGGAGAAAGATTCCTTTATAAAGTGGGTCACCTACCAAGTAAAGCCTCATATACTCAAATATAAACGGCCAATATTTAACTATTGCTGAACCAAATAAATGTTTATAGCATTAAATATAAACGACCAATGTTTACCTACTCACGAACCAAGTAAATACATATCAACTCAAATAAAAATAACCAGTATTTACTTATACCTGAAATTAGTATATGCCTATGGACCCAAATATAAGCGAACCATGTTTGCCTGTACCCGAACCAAGTGGTTGCTTCTGCACTCAAATATTAACGACAAATATCTATCTATTTTCGATGCTTAGATACAAGTATAATAATACTTATAGACTCAAATATAAGACCGACAAAGTTTGACGTACAGACTTTTGTGTTGTTTGTTTTTCATTGGTTTAAGTCTGCTTAACCAATGACAAACAAATAACACAAATATTAATAATGTCAGAACTTTTTCTTCTTTTTCTCCATATCTTGTTCTCTGATGAAGCTTTAATAAAAGGAAAACATGTTAGACCTATAAACATTTCCTATTTGTTACTTATCAAATCATTCTGTCGAAATTCGATCCATATTTCATCTGTATTTGATCGCATTTCATCAGAATCAAGTACAAACACGACCATCGTTTATTATAGACACAAGTCTAATAAAAATGTAATAAAATCAACCAACCTGTCTTCTTTTTCTTTTCTGTTTTTTTTTCTTTATTTTTTTTCTTCCTTTATTATTTAATTTTACTCCATTCTTTTCTTTTATTTTAAATTTTATTCTTTCTCCATTCTTTTTTTTTTATCACTTTTTCTTCAGTATTTTGGTTTTCTTCTTCCTGTCTTATTCTTTCTCCAATTTTCTTTCTTTTCCTTTTTAGTTCGCTTTTTTTTTCTTTTCTTCATTGTTCTGTCAACTTTGGTTTTCTTCTTCTTCTTCTTCTTCCTCTTCTTCTTCTTCTTCTTCTTCTTCCTCTTCTTCCTCTTCTTCTTCTTCTTCTTCTTCTTCTTTCTGTCTTTTCATTCACTACTTTTTTCTCTTCATCTATCCGGTTCTTTGTTGCTTTCTCTTATTATTGTTTACGTTTTCTTTTTCTTTCTATACTCTTCTTTTACTTAATTTTTCCCTTTGTATTCTTCTTTTTCTTCTTTTTCTTTTGTAATTTCCTTCTTCTTTTCCCTTATTAATCTTCTTCTGCTTATCTTTTCACTTTTATTCCCCATCACCCTTCTCCTTATCTTTCCCCTCCTTGACTTCCTTATCAGTTTTCTTCCATACTAGTTTCTCTCTCTCGCATTTTCTCACGCCTTTCTTTCTTTCTTTCTTTCTTTCTTTCTTTCTTCACTCCGTGTCATAATTTTTTTTTACTTCTTCAGTTCATGTTTTCTTCTATTTCAATGCAAACCGACATTTTCTCCTTCCACCACTTCATTTCCTACCCACTCTCTGCCGTTGTTTGCTTCTCTCTTTTAATATCTTTCATTTCTTAATCCCTTCTGTCACCAATTATGCAAAATAGCCCTTGATTTTACTACACACCACAATCCATGCATAACCAATGCAGATGTCTTTTGCAAGTATTTCCGCCAAACAGTCATGTCACTGACATCTAACCAGCAACAATCAGGGAAAGCCCTCGTCTGTCTTCCGGAAATCCTTGACCGGGGTCAAGATGAACGCTTAAGAGACTTCAGAATAGCTAAGAGCAGAATCACTAGTCCATTCATGGTCAGAATTGAATTTAATTTCGTCCAGCTGACAGAATACTGTGTCGCTAACTCAGTCATTCATCTTGAATAAATTAGGCTTGCTTTGATGGGTACATAAGTAGCTTGTTCCAAATATTCGTTTTTATTGTTTGGCTGCTGAATTCCACCGGTAGGAAGGGTAGAATTTAACGGGGCACATCTTTGAAAAGTATGACTTTCATAAAGGGAAGTAAGAATGTATTCTTCCTCGTAAACTTTGCATATATTTGACGCCGGGTTAGTTTTTTTACAGAGAGCTTCAACAGAAAACTTATTTCAATTTTAGTTCAGTCCAAGCAGATCAAGTAAAATTGTCAGAAATACAAGCCATAAAAGGCCTGAATGTTCGAAAAATATTGTTAAAGAAAATTTGAGTTCTTCAACAGAATTTGAACCTGCCTCACCCAGGGCATGGTAGAAGAAAATAAAGAAATATACAGTTTAATAAATAAAGTTAGTGCCTACTTCAATAAAAATCTCGGCTTAATACAAATTCCATTTTAAAATTCTCTTTGTTTATGCTTGGATACAAAACTGCGTATATATATAAAAAAAAAATCGAGTGAAAATTCGAATGACAAGAAATTTCGCTTAAAGTCACAAAGTATTGCCTCGTTCGACCGACCGTTCTTCGTGACTAAGTTGGTTATATCGTGCCGGGTTTAACGGTAGCTCCCCCCATATACTGGAGAACGTGGGTTCAAATCGTGGCGCTGAGCTAAAATTTTATTTTTAAATAAGATTTCTCGAACATTCAGGCCGATAGACGAAAATAAATAAATATACTGTTTAATAAATAACCGGGGTATCTGCTCAAATACGTATAGCCAAGACAAATAAAATTCAAAGTGATAAATATATATTACTTCAAATTTTATTATACTGGAAACTCGTATCTGAAATAAAAAAAATAATTTTAAATAGTGTGTATTACGTCCCTTGGTATGCGCATTCGATGAATCTTTATAACGAAAATTATTATTTCCTTAACTACGATTGTTCCATATATTAATTTTCTCAATGACGAGTGCCCATTCTAATGACGTATGACGTAATAAAAATGTCAGATTAAAGCCAAATCCATTAATTCTCTAGAAATTGCTTTGTTTACATTTTGGATACGAAACTGAGCAGATAAGAGCTTTCGAAAAAAATAAAATAATCTGAATGAAAAGGATATGCATTGCTTAAAAATGGAAAACGGAGTCTTGCTTAACTGTGACGTTCTTCGTGACCGAGCAGCAAAGCACATGGGATTAATTGGTGGTTTCTCCTACAGAAGAAAACGCATTTCCTTTATTTAGATTTCTTGAATGCTCAGGCGTTTTCTCTTCAGTGCCTCTTTCATTGAACCAAAGAGATGGAAGTCTGAGGATGCTAAGTCAATAATAAAACAAATTGCATTAATTCTTGGTTCAATGTCATATATCAATTCCATGGAACTCCCTCCCGTTTCCTTGTTTCCCTGACAAATACAATCCTCTTAAATTTAAAGGCCACGTCAATCGCTATCTTCTCTCTTCTTGAATCCCGTTCATCTTTTATCCTTTCATCGGTCTTTCCTATACACAGTCTTTTCGCTCATTTTCACTCCCTGTAACCAGGCCGAGTAATAGTAACATAACACTCTTGCTTGGGATGAAATGATTAAAAAATTCCCTAACTGCGAGTAAATGCTGGGCATACTGGACATTCTAGCTTTGACTGGCAAATCGCGGAGAACATAATTGGGAACAACTTTACTATCTTGTCAAAACTGAACGAAGAACTAATATGAGAGATTATCTTGGTACAAGGTTAATCTGTGAATAACTCCCGAAGATCTGATCTCGACATTTTTTTTAAGTGTTTCACCCCAAGCAAGACGAGAAGCCACTAGGACGCAAGGGGTTACAGAAAATTTGGAGCAAGATCAGATAGGATTGATAGAAGAAAGGATGAGGAGAAGGGTAGTGGATAGATCAAGGCAACTGGAGATGTCGATTGACATTACATTTGAATAGCTGGAGATGTCGACTGACATTACATTTGAATAGCTCTTAGGGAAAATGGAATAGAGTTCCATAGGCGAGAGGTGCGAGACAGGAAGCTATTGGAGTAGAAGAGACGGCTACATTTAGGAGTTTCGGCAGTGAAAGGGTGAGAGCGGGATGCCAGCCTCGTAGGGCGCTTGAACTCATGAAGTCTGGGAACCAGCGAATGCAGCTCCTCGGAGCAATTGCCATGAAAGTATTTGTAAAACAGACAGAGAGAGGCGACGGCGCGTCTGTGAGAGAGCGACTGTAGACGAGATGCCAGATCAGGGCCAATTATATTACATATCCGCCTCTGGAGCCTCGAACTCAAAACCTATTTATAAGTGGTATCGCGTGAATGAACAAATTAATCTATTTGTTGTTAAATAGTTATATATAATAGATTATAGGTAATTGTGCAATTCATAGAACATTTGATAAAATCAGTTTTCTTCGATGTGTCGTGTCCCTTTCCTACCTGGGCGATCGTGTCTCTTCACTATTTCTTGTCCTTTGCAGCTCTTAGTAATGTTTGTGTATTTAGCTATCCCTCCTAATCTCTCTACTGCCAACCATTTATAAAAGATCATTAGGTAAGTTTCGCGCCGCTTTCCTCTGTCCATTTTGCCTTCAATATTGTCTGTGAGTATCAAATTTTATAAGTCCCTTTCTTCATTATGTTCCCTAGAAATTAGAGCTGACATTTTCAGTATAAGTGTCCTTTTTGTTTCCATTTGGATAAAGTACGTCTGTTTGTAGGTAAGCTTGACTTTTTAGGGAACGATATTAGAATAATTTAGACTTTATACTGGAAGCAAAATGGCTTGTTTACGAATAGAAAATGAATTCAGAACAAATGCAAAAATAGAAAGGCGTGTAAGCTATTCAACTTATACAGTGAAACAATCCTGAGAGAATTAGAAGTACAACTAGAATTCGTTATTGGAGGCCATAATCTTATCAACATAAGATATCCAGATGACACAGCATTGATAACAGACACAAAAAGGAAACTACAGGAAACTCTCACAAATGGAAATAAAGGTAAACAAGAAGAAAACATCAATTGTAAAAGGATTGAATGTGTAGTTGTTAGTAAAAGAAACAGCACAGCATGCAAATTACAAATTGGAAATTGGATATCATAGGTAGGAATCATTAAACAAATGCGTCAAGACGTCCATTCAGTCTAATAACCATATATGCCTACTGATGTAGAACATTCTATCTGTACCGTGGTTTCCTATTTCCTTCTCTGCGGTTTTCGGAATTCCCCTTCTCCAAGACTTGTTGCTACCCAAGTCTATAGAACCTAGTTTATACTGTTATTTAATCCATAAATTGTGGGGTGGAGAAATGATTAATTTCTCCCTTTCCCAGAGGTCTGAGTGCGAAAGTGAATGGCTAGACAAGGATTTAAACTTGACTTGCTCATTCCATTTTCCATGCTGATAATCATTACATATCCTGCACACCATAAAACAGTGAAAATAACACATTACATCATGACTTTTCCTAATATCCTTCGCTAAAAATGTTATAACAATTTCCATCCATTTTAGTGTTGGCCTTCTAAATTAGCTGCCACCCAAGGCTAGAGAATGCAGTCTATGCCACTGTTTAGTCCATAACTAGAACGTAGAAGAGATGGAGACATTACTTTTTTTCAAGCGTATTAGTGGAAAGTGAACGTAAATGAAGAGGACGGATCTTGAATTCAGATTACGGTTGCAATTTAGCGCCGACACTATTTAAAAGTGAGGGCTCGAAGGAAAGTTTTATATTTTCTTATCACGGCCCAATGATTTTATTACTATTTCATTGTTTACCTTATCTCCGAGCATTTTTAATTTTCTACTCTAAGGAACTAAGCAAATTTGTCAATAGGGAAAAATTGATTCAAGACAAAGTTCGTAGACTGGGGTCAGAAAAAAATCACTTTTAGTAGAGACCCTGTAGTTAATGAGTTGACAAAAAAAAATGACATGAAAAGGGGTTGACAGTGTCCAAATATTTAAGCAAAATTTACTAAAAGAATATAACAATTATATACTTATATATGTTAACAAATGTTTCGCCCGCACCGTGGAAAGTAGCACTTAATACACAGATGAACGGATAACATCGGAAAACAAGTCGGGAAAATAAGATTTTAAATAAGTTTTATTTGTTTACTACACACACACACACACACACACACGCACACACACACACACACACACACACACACACACACACATATATATATATATATATATATATATATATAAGGGCAAGCAATGGATCAATGCATTAAAAACTCTAATGACCACTTCGATATCCCAATGGGATCTTTGAACCCTGCAGAGTCATCTGACCTTATAGGTCATTTTATATTATATAATGTTACAGCATATCGCGAGATTATTATAACTGACATTGGATTGGGTTTGTACAGAGATGAATATCTTATGTTTATAAAAATTCTACAAACTATTATACAGGGAATTATAAATGCCTGAATTTGAAAATTACTGGAAGTACTAAGTTGAAAAAGGTGAACTTCCTTGATATAACATTAGATTTACTGAATAATTTATACACACCTTATAAAAAACAATACTAATCCTTTATATTTACGCCTTAAATCTAATCATCCTCCATCTATATTTAAACATATACCTTTATCTATCGAAAAAAGAATAAGTACAAATTCAGCAAATGAGAAATTTTTCTATGAACATAGTA